AATACATTTTTCCTAACATCCAATCTGAACCTCCCCTGACACAACTTCAGCCCATCACTGTTACCTGGGAGCAGAGACTGACCTCACCTCACCACAACCTCCCTTCAAAGAGCTGTAGAGAGCACTGAAGTCTCCCCTGAGCCTCCTTTATTCCAGACTGAACTACCCCATCTCTCTCAGCCACTCCCCATCAGACTTGTGCTCCAGACCCTACAGTTTATCAACTTCCGTAACTTTTACTGTGCAGTTATTATGCTGAGCTGAAAATAACGCCTCCGGGTACGTTGGGTAGGGAGGTATTGGATTCTGGCAGGCCTGAGAGAGGCAATGCTGCTGAAGCCCCATCTAAACATGATTCTATTCCAGTGTGGCTCCAGGTGAGGATTGCTATTAACAGGATATTTTATACGTACTTCTACAGCTACGCCCCAAAATGTGACAGCCAAAACACTTGTCACTCCAGCACTCAAAAGCACAGCAACTTTGACTTCTTCCTTTTATTTATTAATAGGTCTCATTTTCCTGATGTCCAGGCTTTCTATGAGCAACACCACACACACAGTGCACACAAGGCCACCTTCATGGAATCACAAAGGTTGGAAAAAGACCACTGGGATCACCCAGTCCAACCATCAACTTATCACCACTACGGCTGTGTAGCAATAGGACAGATCAATATGACAGGAAAAGGTGTTTCACCAGAGATGTAACGATGGAAGGATCAGCACAATAGGAAAGTGCTAGAAAAGACTGCTTACCCATATCAGAAGATTCCAGGTTCAAAGGGGAAAGCTCCACCAGGAAGGGATCTCCAGGAAGAGATCCTTCCCCAATGGCAGTCAGCCCTTAAATGGGGTCTAAGAGAGGTGTAGCCAGGCTCCATTCCTTCCTACACAGCTGAACTGCCTTCACTTGTGCCCCCAGGGCTGACCGGGTCCTTTCCCAGGTGCTCAATCAGTGGTTCAGGCCATGACTCAATAGTTCCCATTCAGCCTGCTGCCCCACGTCTCTCAGCACCACATCCACCTTTTCACCAGCTGTCCAACCTCAAACCTCCCTGCTATCCCTTAGGTCTCAATCAGGTAAAACAGGGACATTGGTTCCTTCTCACCCGCAACACTTCTGCAGGGGAACCAGCTCTCACCAGCTGCCACTCATCCACCCACAGAACGAATCACAGAATCACAGAATGGCCTGGGTTGCAAAGGACCACAATGTTCATCTATTTTCAACCCCCCTGCTGTGTGCAGGGTCGACAACCAGCAGACCAGGCTGCCCAGAGCCACATCCAGCCTGGCCTTGAATGCCTCCAAGGATGGGGCATCTACAACCTCTCTGGGCAACCTGTTCCATGGCACTGCATTGGTCCCTGTTGGCATGGGGTTTGGGGGGGAGGGGAAGATGGTAGGAAGAGAAAGGAAAAAATAAATACAAATTAGGAGAAAAAGAACAAAGAAGAAAAAACAAAAGTATTAAAAAAACAAAAAACAAACAAACAAAAAAAACCCCACAAGTCAGGCTGGTCTGTTTCTTTCTTTCTTCTCCACCATCTATTCAGAGGCAGCAGGGGAGGTCTACAACTGTTGCGTCACACCAAGCACAAAAAACCTGACAAGCATGTTTGAGCTGATGGAGAGCAGACTGGACAGGAGGTTGGTGACAGCTTTAACACAGGGAGCAGGAGCTCGCTGCTTTAATTGGCCAAGGATGGGCTGCCCAGAGCCACGAGAAATGGCAGAAATTTCAGTGCGTAAATACTTCAGCTCCCATTGAACTCTGCCTCTGCTCCACGGATCTGGAATCTGTGATCAGCGCTGAGGGCAGAGAGCAGAAGATGCTCTGAAATGGGGCGGGGGGGGGCTGCACTGTATGAATAACGCCCCTGAAAATAATGCCTGCTTGCATCTTTAACGCAGCATTTTCTTCTCCACGGAGCTGTGACAATGGTTATCTCTGTGGTATAATTATCCGGATTTGATGACAGATTAAAAAAAATATAGATCCCAACACCTGTTCAAGAGTTTTGTGTTTTTAAAGGCCATCGCCATTAACCTTGGGCCACGCACTTCATTGTGTTTAATTAGCAAGCTAATGAAGCCAGTTTTATTCCCTTTCTCAAGCACAAGAGGATAAGTACAAGACAGCGAAAGAGCAGGGCAGATCCATTTGCAGCACAGTTCATTGCTGCATGGCATTACTTAAACTTGCACCAAAATAAAAGTAATGTAATGGCTCGGAAAAGCGCCTTAGCAATGCATTCTGCAAGACAAATCCTTTTACACCTTCTGTATTTTCCACAGCTCCGAGATTCAAACACGATTTCTGAACATTTGGGCTGCAGAAAATTTGCAAACAAAAGGCTAAAAATGAACATAATGTTTTCCTCAATGAATCCTCAGTATTCCAAAAAATTAAGCATAACAGATTTTTTTTTTTCTACTTTTTTTTTTTTTTTTTTCTTTTAGATAAAAGAAAAGCGGGCTGCGCCGGCTTTGTCGCGGGCAGCCAAGGGAGCACCAACAATGGAGGTCAAAGCAAATTTCGAAAAGCCCACCACTTTTGCACAGCCCTATATATACACACACATAACACACAAAGCCTGGCTGTGCAACCCAGCAACGCGCCCAGACCTGGGGCATGGAGACTCGCTGCCTTTCTTATTTTGGGAAAGGGAAAACCGGACAACGAGGAGCGCATCGATAAATGCTCGTCGATATCACAAGAAATGCAGAAAGGGCTTGAAAAGAGAGGGAGGGGTTTAGGGAATTGCTCGAGCACTGATTGAGCGATGCTAGGGGACCCTTCCAAACAAACTGAATAGCGAGTGTTTTCAGGGCTTTCTTTATCATATTTTCGGGGGAGGGAGGGGGGAGGGAGGTGGTCAGTGTAGGTATGCCCCCATCAGATTATCCTTTTTATAACATGATCCATTTAAGAAGCTTTGGGGGTTAATTATTCTTTTTTTTTTTTCTTTTATTTTGCCATCAACCACTTTTCTCCTCCAACTCCGATCTCTGCACAGCCATAGGAGCGTGCTGAAAACCAACCCCAACCCAACCAACCAACCCAACCCACCCCAAACAACAACAAACCAGCACGAAAGCCATCCCTTCTATCGAACCACACCAGATAAAAGGATTCTGAGACCTACAGAAAGAAAACACATCGTCCATCCATCTCCTTGCTGCATGTAATAGAATTCTGCAGGCGGGAGAGCACCTTCCCAATACCTGCTACGTAAACACCCTCACCCCCATTCCCTGCACATGGAAACAAAGCTGTACACAAGTGTCCCAGCGATGCAATACAACCCCGAGCTGCCTTCGCTCCCCGCTAATAGATTAACGTGACCCTTCATTTTTTAACCCCCGTCCTTTCGCCTTTTCCACCCTCCTTCCAGGTTTCGGCACGCCTTAAGAAATAAAGCCATAACGATGCTGATAATGGCAATTAAGCGGCGTGGCACCGCTCGCCGTGCCACAATCAGGCGGTGGCAGCGCATATTTAATGGGCACTCGGAACAAAGGAAGCGGCAGCGGGAGCGCCCCGGGGCCGGCACCGCTCCCCCCGCGGGCAAAGCCGAACCGGGGGGCGTGGGGTGGGTGAGAGGCACAAGGAACCCCCACCCCCGCTTGCCTCCCTGCCCCCAAATCCTTCTTTGCTATAGGATGGAGGGGAACTCCCCGCTCCGCGATGGGCACGGCCACAGCATCGCTGCCTCCCACCCGCTCGGCTTCAACGTTGCCCCCCCCCCCCCCCCCTTATATACGCGTCCCCCATCCCCACGTATGTCACCACTCCCCCCCCCCTCCCCCCCGGGGCTGCAGGGAATGTAACAAGTTACTGCCCAGCACCCAGGTTAATGGAGGGGGCCTGAATGGGGATCAAGGTGGAGGTGGATGGGGGGGGGCACACAAAATAGCCGCTGCTCATGGAGAATATCCAGCAATCATAAACAATAAATAAAATGAGAGGGAAACGGGGATACGGGGTTTCAAGCGTGACGGTGCTTGCAGTCGTTACTGGGCTGTGGGGGGGGGCACACAGGGTGCTGCCCCCGCCCCAAAGGGCTGCGGGATAACCCCTCTCCCCCCCCCCAGCCCAACAGCGCTGCCCCCCGCTTCCCCTACGGCCGCTTCGAGAACTTCACCCCTTGCCCCCCCTCCCCCTCCGGCTGAACTTTGGGGGCAAAGCTGTTCGATTAAGGCGGAATTAATTCAATGAATTAAAATGAATGACAAAAATTTAACACCTTCTCCCCCCCCTCCCCCCCTTCCTGCAACAGAAACCCCTCCTGGATGGATGCTCTCCCCCCTCACCACCACACACACACACACACCCCCTTTCGCCCAACTTTCTCCCAGCACCGCCGAACAGCCCCATAGGGCTCGGTTGGTGCAAACAAGCAAAGCCCTGTAGGGCTAAGGGGAAGAGGGGAGAGTCCCCATCTGGCTTCCTTTTTTTTTTTTGGGGGGGGGGGGGGGAAAGGTTCTGCCCCCAGGGTTAAGCTCCCCGGTAAGAAAGGGGAACACACACACAAGCGCGCGCTGCCCCAACACCTGAGCGGAGCCACCCCCGGCTCCCCAACTTCTGTGTCTGTGTACCCCCTCTGTACCCCCCCCCCCAAACACACACATCCCTTCCAGCCCTCCCCCACGAGTCAATGCCCATTGCCGCAAAGTTTCCTCGATCTCTCGCCGTGTTTACATCGCCGCTAATTCCCACCGGCAGCGAAGGGAACAAAAAAAGCGGCGGCAGCACGGCAAGGCTCCGTCCTGCCAGTACAGAGCTTGGGAGAAATGGGGGGGGGGGGGGGGGGGAGAAGAGGCAAGAAAACAATTAAACATCTCACAGCTTGGAGGGGGGGAGGAGGGATGGGGTTCATCCGGCGGGTCTGGGGGCTCCGCTCCGCTTTTAAGGCTGCACAGAACCGCACCGGCCCATTCAATGGTGAGGTCGGGAAGCCGAGCGTAGAGGTAAACACGGCGGAACGCGCTTACCTGCGCCCAAAGTTGCACAGAGCACGGCCAAAGTCAGCCACGAAGCGCTCATATTCCTTCACACGGTGTGGTTTTGCGTTTTGGTTTTTGTTTGTTTGTTTGTTTGTTTCTCTCTCTCCTCGCGTGCCCCTGTTTCCCAAGGGGAAACGTAAAACGTATTCAAAATAAAGAGCTGGAAGCAGAGGGGAAAGGAGGAGGGAAGCGACGCGGTGCTCCTTCTCGAGGAAAAAAAAAAAAAATATATATATATATATACAAAGAAAAAAAAAATAAAGAAAAAAGAAAAATAAACGAGGAGGGAAAAAAAAATAATAATAAATCCTGAAAAATCGGATTTAATTCCTTCGCAGTTGCAAAATGTATCCAGTGGAGAGGAAGAGCCCGACCCGCTCCGCCCGGCCCCGCCGCTCGCTCCGCGCTTTCCAAGAGTTTCTTTCGCTGCGCTTTTGTGCTGGGAGCGCGGCGTGCACCGCACACCGCCTCCCCCCACTCCTCCTCCTCCTCCTCCTCCTCTCCTCCTCCTCCCAACCCAACCCAACCCCTCCGGCTCCCCCAGCAGTGAGGCCGAGCGCACACGCCCCCCTCCGCTCGGCTTTCCGCGCAATTCACGCGCAACGCTCCCCCACCCCTTTTTCTTTATTATTATTTTTTTTCCTCTCTATGTTTGTTGTTGGCTCCCTCCCCCCCCCCCCCCCCTTTTCTTTTTGTTTTTATTTTCGCTTTTTCCCAATACCCCCCTCCCCCCCCCCCATCCCTCCCTCGGAAGAGAAACTTTGCGAGGGGATCCGCGTCCAGGCAAGAGCCCGCGGAGGGGGCGCGGGGCGCGGCATCGCGAAGGAGGAGAGATTGGGATGGGGAGTTTCATAGGGGGGAAATTAAGAATAATAATAATAAACTGGGAAAAAAAAAATATCGGGTCCGGGGGGGAGGGGGGCGGAAAGAAAGGAGATTTTTTTTTTTTTTTTAATTATTAAAAAAAAAAAAAAAAAAACCTGAACCGAGTCCAAAATGGCTTCTAAAAAAAAAAAAAAAAGGAGAAGCCAAAGCGGAGCCAGCGAGGGGGAAACCCGGATGTTTGATACAAAGAGGGCTGGAGGGGGGCGGAGCGGCGCGGGGGCTCCGCGGTTCTGAGTGGGGCGCGGCGCTGCCCGTCAACACCGCGGAGCGCAGCGCACCGCCCGCGGCTCCTGCTGCCGCGCTGCGCCGGGAGGTGCGAAAGGAGCCCCTGCGCTGCCCTTGTTAGGGCAATCCCTGGGTTAGCGGGCTTCTCTCCATCGCCGTCGCTGCGGACGATGTGCTCCGTTCGCGATTTATTGCAATTATAATGCGATCGTCCGGAACTGGGGAGCCCGAAGGGGTGTTAGAGGGAAGGAGGGTGGAAAAAGGGGATGGTCATCTTGGGTGCGCTAAGCTTCGGGGATTTTGCCCTGCAGGGAGGTAAGAGGAAATAGAAATCGTTCTCTGCAAACTTTGGGAAGCGCTTTGCTCCACGGAGAAATTCTGGTGTTTGTTTGTTTGTTTGTTTTTTCACCTTTGGGAAACTTAAGGAGAGGTTGTAATCTCTGGAAAGGTGGTTTTTGTATATGTATAACAGTGGAACATGTTCTGAACTGTGAGCGGGATCCCAAGTGGAGCTGCGAGGAGCTGATGACCGGTATCCTTTATGCTGCCGTGCTTCCTCGTGTGTGTGCTGTGGAAGGGGAGGGCAGCCACAGAACCTTACAGACCCGGCATGGGGGGGTGACAGGGACTGTGCAGCTGGTACAGCTGCAGGAAAGTGTCCAAAATAATACAGACAGGGAGCAAACAGCACTGAAACCAAAGCCCACAGGGGGTCAGGAGAAAGCAAGGTACATTGTGGCACCTGGCTAAGTTAAAGCATGGGTGGGAAATGAGATGGAGATGTGTTTGTGAGAGGGCAGAGCTGGGGGCTGAGCCCTGCTCCCTGCATTGGCACAGGCTGCCCATAGAGGCAGTGGGTCACTGATCATGGAGGACATGATCAGTGATCAGACATCATCGAGAGCCGTGGAGATGCGGCAATGGGGGACATAGTGGCATGGTGGGATGGGTTGATGGTTGGACCGAATGTTCTTAGAGGTCTTTTGGTCCTTAATGGTTCTACTGTTCTGTGACTCTGTGACTGCACGTGGGTGCAGTGGGGCTGGAGATGGGGGCAATGGGGAGAGGGGAGTTCCTGGCTGAAGCTCAGGGAATGTAACAGCTTCAAGAGAAGACCAAACCTGAGGTAACATCTACAGGGCCGCTTATTTCGTTGGAGGATAAGTTTTGAAGCAGCTGAAGGATGGAGAAATGGATAGGACAGTAAAGTGTAAACATGCTGACACTCGTCAGTGTCCATCTTTCATTTTCAGCTCTGACCAAGAGAAGCACAACCCTCTGGTCAGGCTCCCCAATCACAGAATCACAGAATGGCCCAGGTTGGAAGGGACCTCAAGGATCATGAATCTCCAACCCCCTGCCACATACAGGGCCACCAACCTCTGCATTTAATACTAGACCAGGCTGCCCAGGGTTTCAATCACAGCACCGTAATGGAGCCCCTTTCCCAGCATCCCAGTTTGTGCCCTGTATCCCCCCGGGGTGAGTTTTGACTCCCTGTAAGCAATTCCCCGGATTCTCCTTTATTCCCTGAGCACCTGGGCGGCAGCCCACCACGCTTACATTGTTTCACAGGGAGGTGTTTACCCGCCTGAAAAGCTAAAATGTTTTCACCTCTTGCAACCTGAAAGCACAGGAGCTGTGTGGCGCATGGGAATGTTACAGCTCAGGCACGAGGACACTTGAGAACTTCACCAACCTTCATTGTTTTTGGAAATGGGGCTGGAAGGAGGTAGCGGTTAGGCTTAGGGTTACGTGCCATCATTGCCCCTGGCGGTCTGAAAGCCTTCCTTCAGAGTCACAGAACGGCCAGGGTTGGAAGGGACCTCAAAGATCATGAATTTCCAACACCCTGCCACATGCAGGGCCACCAACCTCCACGTTCAATGCTAGACCAGGCTGCCCAGGGCCCCTCCAACCTGGCCTTGAACCTCTAGGGACAGATGGGGCATCCACAACCTCTCTGGGCAGCCTGTTCCAGCACCTCATCACTCTCTCTGTAAAGAATTTCCCCCTGACATCCAGCCTAAATCTTCCTTCCCTCAACTCCAAACCGTTTCCCCTTGTCCTGCTGTTATCTGCCCCTTCAAAGAGTTGATTCCCCTCCTGTTTGTAGGCTCCCTTTAGGTACTGAAAGGCTGCCATGAGGTCACCCCACAGCCTTCTTTTCTCCAGGCTGAACAAGCCCAGCTCCCTCAGCCTGTCCTCACAGGGGAGGTTCTCCAGTCTCCTGGAGCCTCCTCTGGACCCTCTCCAACAGCTCTCTGTTTTTCTTGTACTGGGAGCTCCAGACCTGGACACTGAAATCTATTCTGTCCCAGATGATTTTGTGCTGCTCGGAGTCCTTACGACACTCAGTCTTTGTCTCATGATAGTTGGAACAAGCGGGCTCTGTGCATCCCGATATCCTGCACGTGATGAAGGTACTGGGATCGTTTAAGCCGGCACAGAGCTGAGCTGCTCATGTGTCATTTATCTTCAAATCCTATTGTAGCACTCGTGAGATATAATTTCTGCAGTGAATGGCAATGTATGCTGACAAAGGTGTTACAAAACATGGAAAATACAGAGGGAAGGGACCGGCGTTTCCTTTATCTCCTCCTGTATGCGCTGATGTGGATTTATTTTGCAGGGTGCAGGTCAGTGATGCAGCTCTCTGATTGCTCTGTAGCCCTGTGAAGCAAAACCTGCCTGCAACAGGTGAGGAGCACGGACTGGGCGACCCAAGGCAGCAAAATGGTGTTCTGGCTACATTTCCCATACTGGTTCCTAACGCAGTGCTGTGGGTGGGATAGGAGGCACGCACTGTTCTCAAAATGCCTGGATAAGAGAAACAGAAATGTGTATATGGATACGTGTGCATGACTTTATGTGAGTAACCTTCAGCTAATAAATTCTTGCTTTCCCTGTTGTGCCATCAAAGTCCTTCCCAGTAATGCGTTCTATGGAGTGGGGTCTTAATAGCATGTAGGTCTCTCCAAAAGTAATGCCTCTTATTTATTTCCATGGAAACTACAACTGATACAAAGAGCTCAATAACGTTATTTGATAGTGCAAATCCTCAGCTACCAAACAGTATTTTTTCAGCATAGGCACCACCATTAGCTATGCATTTTCACCAGTCATGAACAAGTCTGCATGCCACGCTCATACAAATCTGCACCCACTGTTTCACAGCTGCTATGATGGGGTTATTGCTGGGAGTCTGAGTTTCACTGTGCTCACATCTACTGTTTGGTCTCCGTAGCCATTCAGCAAGCATTGATGGATGTCAATGGGAGCCATTTTTTTCTGCATGGAGGAGTTGAATTCCACATCTTTGCTTCATAGGCACTTCCATGTCAGATACCATTCTGTCAGACTGCCTCTCTGCTGCCATCTGTCACACAGCAACAAAATGTAGTTAGAATATGGTTGGGAAGGTTCAACCTTTTTTACCATCCTACCAACATCCACCTCTGATATGGTGGGCCCGCATTACAAAATAGGAGGCATTACTTTTGGAGCAGCCCTTGTATAACAGCGTCCTAAGTTGTCAGTCGGTATCTACAATTAACTTCATTGGAATTTCTATATTTGCAGCAGCTGTAAATGAGAGCCAGGACCTCCAGACGCTCCTGTGCATCATCCCTGCCGCTGCCTGAATAAGCTCGTGGGTTTTGCACTAAAAAAGCCCCCCCTGTGCTGACAAATTTGCCCTTTGTGCTCTGGCTTCAGCAAGGCCAGTAAAAATAGTGAGGGATGGGGCAGACACTGCTGCTTTCAGGGCTTTTCTTAGCTCCAGGCTATGGAGTGAGGCATCAGGTGCTGACAGCTCCAGAGGATACAGCAGACATAGGGGTCTGTTCCTGAGATACCCATAGACCGACAGTTTTGTGAACATCCACAATTTGGTATTTTCCTTTTTTTTTTTTTTCCCCTCCTTTTTTGGGGGGGTTGTATTTTAAATAGCAGCAGGCAGCATCAGAGCCACACGATAAAGCTTCCCAAAAAAAGCAGAGTCCCGGCCTTAATCCACACCCCAACCCTGCCAGCAGCCGGGAACCAGAGCACGTCCATGCTCAGCATGGAGACTTCTGTGCTCAGACAAGGAGGATTATGGGCATCATATGACTGACTGCAATGATGGTGTGTGCTTAATTGGTGAAGGGCTGCATTTTCTATCTTTAACACAGGACAAAGGGCCAGAGGGCTGCCTGATGCACATGGTTCCTTTCAGGTGTTTTCTTCACTGTACTTTACCCAGAGAGCTGTGGATGCCCCATCCCTGGAGGTGCTCAGTATCAGGTTGGATGGGGCTTTGGATAACCTGGTCTGGTAGGAGGTGTCTACCCATGGAAGGATTGAAACTGGATGGGTCCTTTCCAACACAATACATTTGATGATTCTGTGATGATGCTGACACAGCTGAGCTGGAAGGCAAGGCATGAAGCATCGCTGGGCACAGCGTGTGAGGGCAGTATTAAATGCTGCACTCCCTTGGGTGCCTGCCAGCAGATCCCATGGGGTTTTGCAGTGTCTGAAGCCCAGGAGTGCATCATTCCTTCAGTCAGAAGAACACACTTGGTTGCTTCCCATAGACACGTCCCACCACCCACTTCAGTTACCAACCTATGTAAATGAGTGTAGTATAGAATCATAGAATGGCTTGTGTTAGAAGGGACCTCAAAGCCCAACCAGTTCCACCCCTGCTGTGGGCATGGGCACCTCCATCTAACCTGGCCTGAGCGCCTCCAGGGATGGGGCACCTCATCAGTCTCTGAGTAAAGAATTTCCTTCTAACATCTAACCTAAATCTGCTCTCTTTTTAGTTTAAGAACGTTCCCCTTTTCCTATCACTGTCAGACCATTAATTTGCCCACATTGTCTTTAGTTGTTGATATTTGACCTGAAAATACAGCTACTCTGCAGTGTGTATGTTGACTACAGCAACACAGAGCCAAACACTCATCTCTCCAGCTCCCTCGCCTTCCTCCCTCCCTAGGTGTTTGGTTGGCAGAAGAGCATCATCCTTCAAATTCCAAGTTTTATTTAAAAAGCTGGACTTGGCTTTATTAAACCATTTGCAATTTAATAGTGAGAAGGTTCGTATGGAAGCATCGTGCCACCGAAATCGTCCATGCCAGCAGGGATATTTCAACCGAGAGCATCCCTATCCCTCCTGCTGCCATCCAACCTCTCTGCATCCAGCTGGACCACACTGAGCTTTGGCTTTCAGCTCTTACCTGTGGCCTTGTGCTTTCTGACACACGTGTAGAAGGACCAATAAAACATGTCCAAGAGCATCTGCTGTACTTTTAGAGTTTGTCCCAGATTATCACCCGGATTTCAGTGGTGAGAGTATAAGAATGCCCAGTGGGGCCAAATGCATCCTACACTGCACTCCTGGAGGTTTGAATCAGGAAAAATTTCCTCCCAGACAAGGTAATTAATTAAGTTTTGTGGCAAATACTCTACTGCCATTAGCAGGAGGTGATAAGCATTCAAGACCACAGTATGTATAGAGCCAGGCAAATGCACTGAGCTTCAAATTGCAACGTTGCTCAGTTATGTTTTACTGTGTAATGAACTGAGCATCTCTGGTGCAGTGATTTTTCATGTTTGTATCGGGTCCAGGTTTTTGTTTTGCATCATGGGTGATGGTCTTTGCTTACTGGGAGCTAAGTTGTCTGGGGGAGACCTATCTCCATGCGCTGGCAGCTGGTGAAGTACAAATGGAGAGGTGGCATTGAAAGGGATCTTCAGGTGTCATCCCGTCCATCCTCCTCCCTTTGGCAGTGTGTATTGGACCTCTCGTTAGTCTCCCACAGCCAAAGTGGGCCAATTCGTCTGTCCTCTCTCTCTGTTCAACCCTCCTGGTTACACTGCCTGACCTTGCTGCAGGGCTCCCTCATGCATACAAGTCCCAAGTTTCACAGGCACCCACACTGGTCTTATTGGTTCACTCTCCTATCAGCTGCTTTGCACTCAGATGTCCTAATATGCCATCTGCAGCGGTTTACTTAGCTTCCAAGCACAGAGCATTCTGTGTATCATAAGAGTACCAGGTGTAAAAGCTATTCAGTTAAGTTCTCCATCACTATTCCATCAATCTTCTAGAGAGACAGGAGAGACACACTGCTGATATGGGTGCAGGTAAGGTACTGCTGCCTGTAAAAAAAGAATCCACTTTGCTTCCCAGCCTTCAGCTCTGGGATATTTTGGCATGTTATCAGGGAGAAATGCATTCAGAAGTGAGAGCAACCAGCCCTGCTGGTCATAATGCCAGGAAATGGTGGGCACTAATAGTGCCTCTCTCTCAATGGGACGAGAGGTAATTGCTTTAAGTTGTGCCAGGGGAGGTTTGGGTTGGATATTAGGAAAAATTTCTCCAAAGGAATGGTGAGGAGTTGGAACATGTTGTTCAGGGAGGTGGTGGAGTCACTGTCCTTTAAGGGGTTCAAGAACTGTGAAGCTGTGGCACTGAGGGAGGTGGTCAGTGGTTGTGGTGGAGGTGGGTCAATCGCTGGATTTGGTGAACTTGGCAGTCTTTCCAACCTTCATGATTCCATGATTTTCTCCATGGATTTCAGAAGAACCAAAAAGAAGTTATTTTACAGTCAGTCTAAAGGTTTTATCCATTCGTAGGTGTCTTGGTGTACAATAAATTGGGATTTTGTCCTTCAGAAAGATAGTTGCTCTTCATTTCTGAGCTTTGTTTGCCTCATATCCCCCCAGCTTCTCTTGCTTCCAAAGGCCAGCAATCTCATTCCTTTTTTTTGCCACCAAATGTCACTCATTTGAGTTGAGAAACAGGAACTGGCAGCAGGGAAGTTACCACTAATCCAGCAAGTGACCAATGTCTCCCAGATACCACAGTTTGTATCCTAACTGTGCTGTGTGATAGTACAGAGACACATAATTATTCTCCTGTCAGAGACTAAATAGATTGCAACTACTAACACCAGATCTGAATATGAGTCAATAACAAGGGGCAGAGGAGGAAGATTTAAAAATTATGCCAGTGGTGGAATGGGACAAGGAGGATGAGGGACGTATGGCAGAAGTACAGGATGGGAGTGTTCTGGTAGCCTGGGTTCCTGTGTAAGCTTCTCCAGGATGTCTTATAGGCTTTGCTTTACTTATCTCTTAAGTCCTGATCAGAATGGGAACAATGGGCTTTAACCATAGAAGTAATTACAATGTTGCACTCCTTGGCAGAGGAGTTAAAATCAATTTCTCCAATACAAGATGAGGAGCAATTGGCCGAGCTGCTGCCAGGCAGAAAAGATCCAGCACTGTGATGTTTACGAGTTCTGTGGGAATCCAGCTCTGCCAAAATATCACAGTGGTGCTGGGATGCCTGTGCAGAGAGGAACCCTGCAGGAGGCAGGACAGTCTCTCCATTCAGTTTGGCAATTGTGGGGCCTTTGGCTCAAGAACAATTTCCACACCTCAGAAAAGATATGGTTCAGCTGGGAAAAGCCCAGAGAGGTGCAAAGAGAAAGATTGGAGGTGTAGAAAACCTGGCTTTGAGTAAAAGCTGACAGGGAGAGAAGTGTGTGGTCTGAGGGGGGGGACAAAGCAGGCTGCCAAACACATGTGAGGCAAATCCAAAGAGGAGTGGTACAATGTGCCCTTGAGAGGGGAGATTCAGATTGGATATGAGGAAAGCTGGGTATAAGGGTAGTGAATCACTGGCACTGGCAATCTAGGTTGCTTAGAGAGGTGGTGGTTGCCCTGTCCCTGGGTACACCCAAGCTCAGGCTGGATGGGGCTCTGAGTACCTGGTGGAGCTGTGGGTGTCCTTGTTCACTGCAGGGGAGTTGGACCAGATGGCCTTTAAGGGTCCCTTCCAACTCAAACAATTCTATGATTCCATGACCTTCTGCAAGTAGGGTGAGGAAAGGGCTTTGTCTTCAACAGACAACATCAGGAGAAACTTCCCAGTGCTGTGAATAGTTTAGCATAGGGACACATCGCTGTTTTCACTGCAGAAAGCTTTAGTCAAAGGCCTTGCAGGATGGTTTGTGACCACTGGTATCAGGGGCCTCCTGGAGGGCTTTGTCAGACTTTCTTGTCTTGTTTTTTCCAGTTGCAAATGGAATCATTAGAATTCACTGCTTGAGTGTTTGTGAAGACTTGCAACAGTAGTAACCCCCATCTGCAATGAAAGAGATTTCAAGAGCAGTCCTGTGCATATTTAGCTAATGTGCAGCTCCTAGGGCTGGTGGTACAGACACAGGCTAGCAAATAGGTGTGCCATAACCACAGAGATTGTTTATTCTACAGCATTACAAATCCAACCTATCTCTGATAAGCAAACACTGCACAAGAGCAGAGCTTTTCTGTGTGAAATGCTGAAAAAAAAAATAAAAAATCAGTTATGTTTAGTGTTACAGTGGCACAAAGAAAATCTCATTAGAACGCACTGACAATGATCTGTTATAAAAGGAACAGAAGCAATTTGTAAGCTCTATGAAAAATGCATCTCTGTTCTGCCCCATTCTCACAGCCTGCTGCTACTCTAGGACAGATTTCCAGTGAGTAGGATCTGTGCCTTCTTGCTTAGTTAGCTCTTAAATACCACGTTTTATTTGCTTGGAGACTTGAACAATAAATAGCAAACACTCTTGTCCCTATTTTGAACACATGGTAACTGCAGTATGGAGAAATGAAATGACATGTTCAGGGTCACAGAGCAATTCTTGACAGGGCTAAGACCAGAACCCAGCTCCCTTGTTCCCAAACCCATATTCCAGCCTTCAGCTCTTCACTGATGCTGCATTTTAATCACCTTCCAGGGAAGTCTATTGGCCTCTTCCAGTTGACATCCATGGGAGTAGTGCCAGGTACCAAATGAAGGCACTGGGATGCAAAAGAAGCAAATGTTAGATGCTAGGAGAGAAGTGATGAAAGGGAAAAAAACAAATTTTACAGAAAAAGGAGTAAGTTCCAGTGTCAACTTCATAATATCATTCCCCCCTTTAATTTGTGTCTAGTCAAAATTAAAAAAAAAATAGATTACTAATATTAATAGATGAAATGAATCTTGAATTTTATAATAATGGAGGAAATGAAAGGACGAAAATGATACTGTGTTGTTAAGTGAGATTTTAATAATGATTCTGTCCTCAGTTGGTGCGTTTGTTCCACAGAAAGTAAATCATTAATGAAGAGAGATTGGAAAACAGTGTTACGGTGATAGATTTTGAAAGAAAAGTTTAATTTTGCTGAACTTCTAGAAAGTCTGTAACATACCAGCAGAAAGTGAAAGACAAACATCTCAAAAGCAGCCCCTATAGATGGGTTTTGACACAGTGGCTTACAGAGCCAAGGTTAACGTGGAACAGTTCCTGTGGCTTCTCTCCAAGAGAGCTGAGGTGGATGGAAGTTAGTTTAGAGATGTCATTTTGGTTGGAGAAAGGAAGGTTTGAAATACCTACAGAGCAGAAAATCAGAAACTGAAGGAGCCCACCAAACTGGACTCTTCCTACAGGTTCCATGGATTTTTTTGAGGTCTTCTTTGCACCATGTCCTCCACAGAGGATGGATGGTCTCTAACCACTTTGAACCTGCGAGGCCATTTGAATTCCCGAGTGAAGAGAGAATCTGCCAAGGCTACCACATCCCATGGGAACTCTTGGTCTACCCCTTGCTATCTTCAGCCACTCCAAGGATCCCAAAAACCAGGCCCCCTTGGAGCAGCAGCTTATTTCATACCCTAGCTTGAAACGTTAACGGGGAGGATTGCATTCTCAGAGCATTGGAGAAAATCATCTTGGTAGCTGGGATTTGGGGCCTGAGAAAAAGCAAGTGTGGAACATATAAGCCTCCGTGTACATGATGGAGATGGGAGAAAAGACAGCACTCCTCTGGTTCCTTAATCAACCAAGCACCCCAAGGCTGAATGCAGAAATTTGCAAATTAAACAATCTTTTTGTATTTAAATTATCAAATCAATAAAGAGACACAAACATTAAACAACGTTATATGAGAGCCTGGAGTGTCACCACAAAAATTAAGACTGTGTAATTAAAAGTACAATGCAATTTATTTTTATATCGCTCTTCATTCAAATCAACAAATGTTATTACTTACCCAAAAATGTAAAGCAGTCTGTGAACTAATTTAAAAGATAAAGACAAAGTGACTATCGAAGAACCTATGTTTCTTGGTCCCTTAGATCTGGCAGCTGTCATGATTTAATATTTTAACTACTGTAATAGGTTATAGTGCTGAAGAAAAGTGCATTAATTAATATGGGAAACATAAAAAAAATAAATTAATTAAGAAGAGTAAAATCATTTTTATTGACTGGGAAAAATAAGTCTATGAAAAGGAAAATGAAGGATGAAAAAAGTGAAGACATAAATGCTAATAGATGTGGCCTCTGCAGGATAGAAAACATACCTCTGCACTTGCTGGGGGTGTGGATTTGAATCTGGAGAGATACCATGGTTTGCCATGGCCAAAGCACTCCTCCAGTATCTCACCCACTGGAAGCATCTTCTAATTACATGCAGCACAGGACTGGTGTTTGCTCCAAATTCAGCTCAACGTATCCATGCAGAGCCAACCTCACTGGCTGTTTCTGAAACAGCATCCAAGAGCCTGAGATTGTGCTGCAATCATGGGTAGAGTGTGGGTAACAACGTAATAACCTCAATAGCTGCCATCCTTCCTAAAGAGTCAGAGAGGACACGTGTAAGAAATCAGTCCCATGTCCCAAACCATGCAATACATCATGCCTGGGGACACAGTAGGGATGGAACTCCATTGGCAAATGCAAACCTGTCAAAATGTCCATGGATATTATAAAAGAGGGAGATGATGCCAGAGGGTCAGCAGCTACACTAGGTATTTAAACAAATACATGCCTTGTAATCACT